GTGTTTGGCGCGGGGCCCGGGGGCCCTCGGCCCGAGTGTGTGCGCGGCTCTCAGAGTTTCTGCAGCTCCTGGCGCTGGTGGAAGCCATCGCTCTGGGCTGTAAATTATAGCTCCGACGTGTGGTTGGCAGCTAATCCGCATTTGCTTTTAACCTTGTCAACCAGAATAAATCTGTGGGTGGAACCCAGCCAGTACGGTCGCCCGGTGCAGCTTCCCTCTGTACAGTTATTGTTTTGGCTTTTTATGTGGAACGGTTTGAACTTAAACATCGCCAAACAGGACAGAGTTCCCAAACACCGTCCGCCCATCGTGGCCTCACATTAATCCTGTTTCTCGGTTACAGTCTACATTCAGTATCACCTCGTACTGCCTTCCCGTGTACAGCTCAGCCGTTAGACACCGGTGCTTGGAACGGTGGTCGAGCATCGGTCTGTACACAGGAGAGAACGGGGAGCCAGGCCCCCACCCCATGACCGCTCCGTGACCGTGTGTGTGTGTGTGTGTGTGTGTGTGTGTGTGTGTGTGTGTTTAATTCACGTCTGGACACAGCATTCGCGCTGCCGACCACCGATAACACAGAACACGCCTCGTAGGTTAAAATCTCGCTACGGTTGTCACGATCCCGCCAGAGGCGGAGCCTGAGTTAGCCGTGCAGATTGGGGACGTGCGGACAAGTTGGGGACAGGTGCCCAGGGCTCTGCTCGGCCGTGTGACCTGGGCCGGGGCTGCAGGGCGGTGGAGGGAATGGCTTCCAAAGGCCCGAAAGCCGCGGGGCCTCACGTGAGGCAGGCGAGGCCGCGTCAGAGGAAAACCGTGCTTTCGGAAGCGGACCTTGTTAAGGGCATTCAGGGAGGACTGGGCAGGTCGGGGGCATCGTCTCCGCGGTCCTGGGTGCTATTTTTTTATATGAACCCGCCCGCCATGTGCACCAGCCCTGCTCCTTCCGATGACCACCTGTTCCCATCGACGGCACACGCGCTCTCTGAGCGGCCCTTCAACACGTGCAAAGACGTGGGAAACTGGGCCTCTGAATGGTCGGCCTCAAAACAAGGAAAGTTCTATGGGGACGGTCTCCACCAATCACCTGAAAGATGGGGAGTGTGTAGCCAGCGATGGACATGACTCTGAAGAAAGCACTCCAGCTCCCCCCACAGCTGGACGCAGGGCTCAGCCGCCATGGGGGAGTCAGGAAGGTGCAGCTTGGAGAGGAGACCAGGGGAAGGCGGGTTGAAGCGCAGCCAGGCCGGGCGGCTGCCGGGTTACTTTTGGAGCAGAGAGTTTCGGGCCTGTGGGCGGGAGGGGTGTTCATCACTCCAGAGGCCGTCATGGAGGCCCGGGAGCCAGGCTCGCCCGGGGGGGTGGGGTCTCCTTTGAAG